GCCCCGCGGCGCCCGGCATCGCCCTGTGTCACCCGGTATCGCCCTGTGTCACCCGGTATCGCACCGCTGCACCCAGCATCGCACTGTGTCACCCGGCATCGCCCTGTGTCACCCGGCATCGCCCCGCGGCACCCGGCATCGCCCTGTGTCACCCGGCATCGCCCCGCAGCACCCAGCATCGCCCCATGGCACCCGGCATCGCCCCGCTGCACCCGGCATTGCACTGTGTCACCTGGCACCGCACTGTGTCACCCGGTATCGCCCCGTGTCACCCAGCATCGCCCTGTGTCACCCGGCATCACCCCATGGCACCCAGCATTGCCCCATGGCACCCAGTGTCCCCTGGTGTCCCCCGACATCACCCCAAGTCACCTGGCATCACCCCATGGCACCCAGCATCACCAGATGTCACCCTGTGGCGCCTGGTGTCCCCCGGCATTGCCCCGTGTCACCCGACATGGCCCGGTGTCCCCCGGTGACCCCAGCATCGCCCCGCGGCACCCGGCATCGCCCAGTGTCACCCAGTGTCACCCGGCAGCACTCTTTGTCCCCCAGCATCACCTGGTGTCACCCGGCATCACCCGGTGTCACCCCGTGTCACCCGGCATCACCGGGCATCACCCAGTGGCACCTGGTGTCACCCGGCGTTACGCGTCACCTGGTGTCCCCTGGCATCACCCACTGTCACCTGGCGTCACCCAGTGTCACCCGTGTCACCCAGTGTCACTTGGTGTCGCCCAGCATTGCTTGGCATCACCCAGTGTCACCAGGCGTCCCCCAGTATCACCTGCTGTCACCCAGTGTCACCCGGTGTCACTTGGTGTCACCCTGCATTGCCGGGCATCACCTGGCGTCATCTGGCATCACCCTGTGTCACCTCATGTCACCCAGGTCCTTGGGTGTCCCCAGTGTCCCTGATGTCCCTGCTGTCCCCAGGGTCCCCAGTATCCCCAGTATCCCCAGTGTCCCCAGTGCCCCCGGTATCCCCAGTGTCCCCAGTGTCCCCGGTGTCCCTGGTGTCCCCAGTATCCCCAGGGTCCCCAGTATCCCCAGTGTCTGTTGGTGTCCCCGGTGTCCCCAGGGTCCCCAGTATCCCCAGTGTCCTTGGTGTCCTCAGTACCCCTCGTGTCCCCAGTATCCCCGGTGTCCCCAGTGTCCCTGATGTCCCTGGTGTCCCCAGTGTCTGTTGGTGTCCCC